AGAGAACAGACTATACAGATTGTATGTACTGGCATAGAAAGAACAAGCAAGTGAGCAAAAGGAAGAGGGAGAGAAGAGAGAATAAGCAAAAGTGACATAGAGAATGGGCAAGAGAGTGGGAAACTGACAGAGTGAGTAGGTTGTTGACACAGAGAAGGTGACAAGATTGGCAACATAGAGAAGGCAGCAAAAGAGAAAGGGTGGGTAGCAGAAACAAGGGAGAGAGAGAGAGAAAGAGTTTGGTGGGAAGAGAGCACAGAGATGGCAGGAGAGAGAAAGAGGACATAAAAGAGTGGGGAACAAGGAGAGAGAACACATGAAAAGGCGATTGAGTTGAGTAGGCAACAGAGTGGGTGACACAGAGAGAAAGCAAGTGGGCAATGGAGAGAGAGGGTGAGTGACAAAAAGAAAAAAGGTGTGAGAGAGGGTGGGCAGTAGACAGAATTGGGTGGCAAGAAAGAAAGGGCAGGCAAAAAACGAACAGGTGAACAAAAGAGCGAATGAGAGAAAGGGCAACAGAAAGACACAAGAGAATGGGTGACAGAGACACAGCAAGTGAGAGGAAAATAGAAATACAGACATACGCCGGGCTCGGTGGCTCAGCCTGTAATCCCAGCACTTTGGGAGGCCGAGGCGAGTGGATTGCCTGAGCCCGCGGGTTCCAGACCCGCCTGGGCAACTTGGCGAGACCTCATCTCTACAATAAATAAAAAATTAGTCGGGCATGGTAGTGCGCGCCTGTAGTTCCAGCTACCTGGAAGGCTGAGGCGGAAGGATCACCGGAGCCCAGCAGGTTGAGGCTGCGGTGACCGGGAGCGTGCCACTGCACTCCAGTCTGGGCGACAGAGTGAGACTCCAACTCAAAAAAACAAAACAAACAAACAAAAAAGAAATACAGACATACACTCTTCTGACATAAAGAGAGTAGATGTGTGACAGCAAGAAGACAACAGAGAGTACAAGCAGGTGGGTGACAGAGACATACCTAGTGATAGAGAGAGAAGGTAGGCAACATAGAGAGAGGATGAGTGACTCTGCCAGTCATTTATTACCCCTTAGCTCCAAATTCACTCCTCAATACCTGCTTTGATAACAAACAGAATTCCTATAAGCATCTCTCCTTTACAGTTAGCAGGATGTTAAGCTTTCTCAGTAGAGGGCGCTAGAGGGACATTGCAGGAGGAAGGGGCTCTCCTGAAGTTTCCAGCTACCGCATGTAGGCGGAATGAGGACATACTGTGAAGCCTGGCCCCAGCCACACACTCAGAACACACAGTCCCTCAATGACCTTGAAGTCTCTGCCTCAGAACAGTCAGTACTTCAAGAATCTTGAAGCCTCCGCCTGACCAGATGATAACCTGCTCACAGCCTACATGGAAACCAGCCCCCAAAGTCCTGTCTGCACTGGCACTGATTTCCTTTGCAGGGCCACGAAAGCACACCTGTGTCCAAGACCCTCTGCCCCTCCTACATGCCCACGCAACTGGTTGCTGACAGCCTGTACTCCAGAGGGTTACTCCCTGTTGCCTCTGGATTCACACACCACCTCTAGCCTGGGCAACACAGCAGACTTCTCTGCTATCCAGCGGGCTAAACTATACCTTCTCCAAGGTCTGAACCACAGGCTTGGGGAAGAGGCCTTGTTCCAAGTTTGTCCTTCCTTAGGTACTCTCCCTTAGCCCTAAGGTACCAACAAGGAATTTCCTTATATCTTATCTCATTTATCAATTTAATAATTCTTTATATTAAAATCCCCGTTTTAACACACTGGTGGTTTATATCTCCTGATTAGACCCAGAACAATACAGTGACAGAGAAAAAGAAGGTAGATAATAGGGATAGGTTGGCAGCAGAATGAGAATGGGTAGCCGGGCTCGATGGCGCAGCCTGTAATCCCACGCCTTTGGGAGGCTGAGGTGAGTGGATTGCCTGAGCCCGCGGGTTCGAGATCCGCCT